AGAGAGAGAGAGAGAGAGAGAGAGAGAGAGAGAGAGAGAGAGAGAGAGAGAGAGAGAGAGAAACACAAAAAGAGACACTCAGAAGGATGGAGAAAGACATATGACCCAGACACAGAAAGGCAGAGTCAGCTGGCCAGTGGTGGTGCACGCCTTTAATCCCAGCACTTGGGAGGCAGAGGCAGGCAGATCTCTGTGAGTCTGAGGCCAGCCTGGTCTACAAGAGCTAGTTCTAGTACAGGCTCCAAAGCTAAGGAGAAACCCTGTCTTGAAAACCAAACCAAAAAGAAAAAAAAGAAAAGAAAAAGAAAGGCAAAGCAGAAACAGAGCTGCAGGTGACTACACACAGACACCCCAGGAACACATAAGGACCAAAACATGGAACTGGAACTGTGTTAACCCCAGCACTGCCGAGGTGCAGGGCTGAAGGATCAGGAGTTCCAGCTACCCTTAGCCACATAAATGAGTTTGAGGCTGGATTGGGCCACATGAAATCTCAAATCTTTCCTTACCCCCTGCCCTCGAAACAAAACAAAAAATGCAGAATGTCACGCAGGAACAAACCCAAAGATGCAGTTTGAGGCGTGGAGGAACACGCTTTCAGGGCGGCCATGGATTCCCTAGAGTTCAAGGTCATGGCTTGGCTGAGAAGGGGAGGGCCGGAGGATACTAAAAAAGACCTGTGTCAGATGGAAAGAGCAGGGGCTGGGAGGGTGAGGGCTCTCGAGCCTGACACCCCATCCTCCCCCTCCTCCCCACACCTGCTTCCCAGCTTTAGCAGCCTGTTGTCACCGTGGTGGAATCCCGGTGGCAGACAAAGGGGTGGGGGTGGGGACGGGAGACAGTTGGACTGAGACAGAGAGGGGAGAGATGGAGGAACAGAAACACACACACAGAGAGAGAGAGAGAGAGAGAGAGAGAGAGAGAGAGAGAGAGAGAGATGCAGACTGGGCTAGAGGAGAAGTTTGAGAAAAGCCAAGTAGAGAAAAAAGCAGGAAGCCTTGCTTAGACCCCCCCTTTTGCCATTAAGCCCTTTTTCCTATACTGTTTCCATTCCTGGGGACTCCAAAGCCCAGAATACTGCTGGTGTCCTAAGAGAGCTTGTGAGATGCCTGACCCAGCCTGGAATCTAGGGCAATGTTGACTGAATCCAACAGGAATCTTGAAGCAGATGGCAGGGGTTGGACCCCAAAACTGGAGCCAGAGAGGGCAGGACAGGCTCTGAGCATGGGGGATGGACAGAGGAATCCTAGCCCCCTCCTCCAACCCGGGGGCGGGGCAGAGCATCCAGCTATAAACCCAGGGGGTGCGTCACTGTCCCCAGAAGCATCAGATCCCCTCTGCAGCATCAGTGGACCCAGCCTTAGGTAACTGGGTTCTCGGTTCTTCACACAGATGTCTTTGGGGGTGGGCAGGATAAGAGTGGGAACCAGGTGTGAAAGTGAGGTCAGAATCTCCCCCTTCTCCTCCTCCTTTTCCTCCTCTTCCCTTCCTCCTCCTGCTTTGAGACAATCTCATTCTGTAGCCTAGGCTGGCCTTGAGTTTACAGCAATCATTCTGCTACCTTAGTGTTGAGATTGTAGGCAGCAGCAACCCAGCTAAGCCTGAGCCTTTAGGAGGACTTGGAATGGCAGGGGTGGAGGGGTAGATTTGTGGGTTATGGATTCTGGGGGTGCTCTTCTTAACATGGTGGAGGATGCATTTGGAAGACAGAGGTACGTGAATCTCTATGAGCGCAAATCTAGGCTGGTTTACAAAGAGAGTTCATGGTTACACAGTAATATTGTCTCAAAAAAATTTGGAGGTCTCAGAGGCTGGAGGAACCACAGAATCTGTGCTTGAAGGGCAAATGGCTCCTGTATTAAGGTTTGGGAAATCTCGAGGTATGAGGAACTGGGGAAGAACTTGGGCCTGAGGTCTCTAGTACAGGTCGGAAGTCCCAATACTCAAGAGATTGAAGCAGGAGGATTTTTAGTTTGGGGCCAGCCTGAAAAACAGACTATTTGGAAGGGTGACATTGTAATCCCAGGTGCTGCAGATGGGACTTCTGGGTTTGGGTGTCAGGTTCTATTTGACGATCTTATACCCTGAGGTCTTATATCTGGGGTTCAGACAGGTGCAGGCTGTGATCTGGCACTCAGGGAGGCAGAAAATCAGGAATTGAAGGGCATCCTTGGCTACATAGTGAGTTCAAGGCTAGCTTGTGTTATTAGAGACCCTGTCTCAACACCCCCTCCCCAATCTTGTGGGTCTTGGAATGTAAGGGCCCACACATGTGCTCGTATGAACTGGGCACCTGATAATCTAGAGATACTAGGATTTCTTGGTCTCACATAACAAGGGCACAGGACTTGGATCTCAGAATCTGTGGGTACCGACTTCTGAAGGTCTCAATGTGGAGACTTTCAGGCCCGGAGGAACAGAATTTGGGGGAGGGAGTTGCGGTCTTTAGGAGGTCAGGCTGAAGCTGCTTTTGATGGATGCACACACATCCCTGAGCAGAATGTAGGCGAAAGGAAAATAGACACGGGAGGAATGCTAGGTGAGCAAGGGGCTGTGGTAGGAGAGGGGCAGAGGTGGCGGACGCCCCACTAATCTAGTTCCTTATTGGGAAATGTCCTCTGTTTCTCTGTCTGTGACATTCCCTCAAAATAGCACCAGGGGTGGGGCAGCTATTGTCTTCAAACCCTGTCCCTTTTCCAATACCTCCTAATCCCTTCGGGGATCAGGTTCCCGTGGACCTGTCAGAGGACAAAAGAAGACAGCTGGGAGAGGGGGCAGGGTAGGCAGGACTGGGGCCGGCTTCCCTGAGCTGGAATGCTGGATGCCAGCCTTCCCTGCTCTGACCCAGAGGTCCAGACCCCATCGCACCTCCCTCAGCCCCAGTAGTCCAGGCATCAGCCCTCTTCCCTTGGGGACCCTATCCTACTCAGCCTCTCTTCTCTGTTCTGCAGGCCACTCCAGAATGTCAGACACGGAAGAACAAGACTACGAGGAGTGAGTGATGGCCTCTGGCAGGATTGGGGGCTTGGTGAGGGGAGATCATTCCGAGATGTCTAACTGTCCCCTCTCTCCCCTTCCCTCCTTGTCCATGTTTCTAGGGAGCAGGCAGAAGGTAAGTGCAGAGAGAGGAGAGGGCTCAAGGCGGTGGAGGAAGCAGGAAGAAGCTCCTTGAGGGGGAAGTGTGGCAGCGGGGAAGTATGGAGCGGGTGGGATGTTCTGAAGCTGCTCCCAGGAAACCCCTGACAACAGGTGGGAATAGTCCCTGTTGCTCTTGCAGCTGGGACACGAATGCCATCTTGTTAACCCACTCTCCTCTTGCCCAGGACTTGGGTTTAGACCCCAGACCTGATGGGGGCTGGGATGCTCCTGGGTCTGAGGAGCCAGGGCTGGGGTACCCCATGAGTCTCTGGTACACACTTGATGCTCCTTATCCCGGATCTAATATCTTCTTTGTGTGTCTCCACTCCTTCCAGATGAGGAGGCGGTGGAGGAGGAGGAAGGTGAGGCCTGAATCCCACAGGTCCTAGGAGGCCTTGGTGTGGGGGTGGGGTGGGGAGGGAAAAGAACGATGTGTTGGGCTGGAGGATCCTGGGTCCATTCTTTAACTGCATCTCGCTTCTCTCCCCACCCCTCTATGCTACTGTGTGGCTTCCTCTCCCTGCACCTCCCAATCCTCGCTTCTCCCAGCCCCCGAGGAGCCGGAGCCGGTGGCAGAGCGAGGTAACCATAGCTTCTTCGCTTCCTGGGATTGATTCGGGTTGTCTGGGGACCCCGACATCATCAGGTGCGCCATCCACTATCAACCCATCCGCTCCTGGATAACCTGCCTGGCCCAGCCTGCTCCTTTAAGCCTCTAGGGCCCTGCGCCCTCTGATGGCCATGAAGGGAAATTGCCTTGCGTGTCTCTAAACCTTTTCCCTTCGTTAAAGGGACTGTAGTAACAAGTTTTCAATCCAATCTTGGGATGAAAACTTAGTAGAGAAAGTTGAGTGTTGTTGGAGAGGTGTCCCATCGTCTCTCCTTTTGGCTCCCGACCCTGTATGTTATATTTGATCCCTATATACATTCGAAGGTTGCGATCTGAAGGTTTTTTTTTTTGTCTTACATTGTGTTTTATTTGTTTGGTTTTGGAGACAGGGTCTTATGTAGCCCAGGCTGGCCTCGAACTTGCAGCAACTTTCCTGCCTCAGTCTCTCAAGCACCGGGATAACAGGTGTTCACCACCACGCTCAGTTTTTTTTAATTTTATTTTTAATTTTTTTTTTAGCTCAAGTTGGCCTGAAACTGCATATGTAGCATATATGTTGGCCTTGAACTCATAGCAATCCTCCTGCCTCAGCCTCCCAAGAGGCTAAGATTACAGGCATGAGCTGAGAGGAACTTGGACTTTAGAGTACTATTAAGGGGGGTGGCTGTGTTTCAAAGGAATAGGGGACTGGGGACAGAGTTCTGGGGGGGTCCCTGAATGAAGAGATGGGGTCTCCTCCACTGCTGGGCAGAATGGGGAAGGCAGGATACAGGGTACGAAATAATTGTAGACAGTCAGGGGTTTGGTCTCTTGGGTTTCCAGAAGTTGGGGACTGGGTGTCTCCACACAGGGCAGAATGTATATCTGATGCGCGTGACCATCTTCTCCCCTCTTGGCCACCTTGACACCCCCTTCCCTCTCTTGATGGCCATACCCCAGAACTGGACTCTCAGATCTTCCTTGGGTTCTCTCTTAGGGGTGCCACGCTCTACACTCAACTCTTACTAATTATCTTTTTGTATTCCCCCATTGCCACCAGAAGAAGAGCGCCCCAAACCCAGGTGAGATGCTACAGGGCGGGCATGGGTCATAAGCGGGTCCTCCCATGCTCCTTCATCTGCAGAGACAGGGTACCTGAAGAGCAGAGAAAAGAGGACTTGAAACAGACAACCTTAACTCTTATTAAGGACTTTCCTGCCCTGTGAAACAGGTCTGCTATCATAAGAGCCTAGGTTCTAGAACGGCATGCAAGGGAGCCTGTGACAGTCCAGGCCAATCAAGGAAGGTTTCCTGAGGGAGATGACTTACAGATCCTGATGGGTGGAGACCTTGCTAGTCAAAGAAGGTATTGGGTACATTGTAGGCAAGGAAAGCCATGTCTTACAGGCAAAGTTGAGTGGATCTCTTCCAGTCTGGATGCAGAACCAGGTCATTCTGAGACTATGGCTAAGCCAGGGAGGCCAGTGCCGGCAGTGGAAGCTCACTGAGCTGAGAGGAGGCCTGGGGTGGTGATGTTAGGGCCAAGCTTTAGAGCCCTAGGAGGAAGGAACACAACCCCGAAGATTCTAGGTCAAGGGAGTAGAGTGAAGGGATTAGAGAGCTCCGGGGAAGGCAGGGAGGAGGTGAGAGCAGTTTCAGAGGGTTTCTGGAAAAGTAGAGACACCACCACTTTCGGCAAGAGAATGAACCCTACCAAGGCATGGAGTGTGGTGACGAATGAATTGTTCAGGAAGTGTTCGTTAACCTGAGTCTTTGGAAAGAGTGTGAGCTGCTCAGTGTCGCTGCACCAGGGAAAGAGTGTGAGCTGCACACTGTCGCTGCACCCTGGAAAGAGAGTGAGCTGCACACTGTCGCTGCACCCTGGAAAGAGAGTGAGCTGCACACTGTCGCTGCACCCTGGAAAGAGAGTGAGCTGCGCACTGTCGCTGCACCCAGGGAAAGAGTGTGAGAAAGAGTGTGAGCTGCGCATTGTCGCTGCACCCTGGGAAGAGTGTGAGCTGCGCACTGTCGCTGCAACAGGGAAAGAGTGTGAGAAAGAGTGTGAGCCGCGCATTGTCGCTGCGCGCTCAGTACAGTAGCGCTGGAAATTCCAGCTTTGATGTCTGCAAGTTTTGTCAATCTCAAATCACAGCTATTAAAAGAAACTGTAGGTGTTCTGAACATGCAGATGTGTTTCTTGTTATAGCCGTGCACTCTTGCTGTTAAACAGCGAGTAGACATTAACACAGCTGGGGGGATGGTAAGTTACTTAGAGAAGCTTATGGAACTTAGTATTCATGAGCCCTGGGCTCCATCTTTACCCTTGAAATACAATTTTAGGGGCTGGAGAGATGGCTCAGGGTTTTAGAGCACTGACTGCTCTTCCAGAGGACCTGGGTTCACTTCCCAGCACCCACGTAACTTGAGTTCCAAGGGATCTGATGCTTTCTTCTGGCCCTTTGTGGGCACTTGGCCACACACAGGCTGCACAGACTGCAGGCAGAGAGCCCTTACACGTACAATTAGAGAAAAGCATTTAAAAAGAAAATGGAGTGTCTGGGAGCATGTACAAAAAATTATACAAAAGCAGTACATGTTACGCTTTAAAGCATTTTACTATTTATTTTGTGAGTGTGTGTGAGCACGAAGGTGTGTGTGTGTGGCTCAAGTGTGGAGTCCTGAAGATGACTTCTGGGGCCCAGTTCTCTCATTCTGCCATGTGGGCCCCCAGGAATGGTACTCAGATCATCAGGCTTGGTCCTTGGCCTTTTATTGCTGAGCTCCCTCCCCTTTTTTTGGGAGGGTTGTTTTATTATTAATATTATTAATAATTATTATTATTATTGAGACAGTTTCTCTGTGTAACAACTGCAGCTGTCCTTGCACTAGCTCTGTAGACCAGGCTGGCCTCGAACTCACAGAGATCTGCCTGTCTGCCTCCCGAGTGCTGGATTAAAGGCGTGTGCCACCACTGCCCGGCTATCCCTGACTTTTTAATGCAGAGGACTCAACCTATGGCCTTGCATGTTTGAGCCATGTACTCCATCTTGAGCCACATCCACAGCCCCGCATTGGGGATTCTAGGCAGGTGCTCGACTGCTGAGTCACATCCCCAGTCCTGTTTTTACTTTTTACTTTGAGGCTGGGTCTCACAAGTTTCCAAGGGTGGCCTCAGCTTTCCTTTAGACCAGGCAGGCCCTGATTTGCCTCTGATTCCCAAGTCCATCGAATGGCAGATTTGTGCCACTAGGCCCTGCCCACTTTTATAAGTATGTCCAAACAGGCAAAACAAACAGTCTTGCATGTTTTATTAAACCCAACATATTCAAACTGTATTTTTCTGACTGTGGTCTCCACACAGACTCGGAGCAGCTGTCACTTCGGCGTGTGGTGAGGTGGGTGGGTGAGGGAGGCCAGCCTGTGGATGATCTCTATCCACTTCTGTCCACATAGCCGTCCAGTGGTACCTCCTTTGATCCCCCCGAAGATTCCAGAAGGGGAGCGTGTGGACTTTGATGTAAGTGACAGCTGTCCTACCCCAGACGTACTTGCTGGTTCTTTGGCGCCTTAAGCCCATTCTGCTCGCGTCTCTCTGCTCCCTTCTTGAAATGCCTGGATCGGTGCCCAGTTGTCAGCAAAGAACGTTTTGCTGACTTCTGCTGGAATCCGTCCCTGCAGGCTGTCAATTATCCCCTGGGGCTGAAAAGAATTCAGCTCTAGGGCCAGGTCCCGCGGCCTCACGGGCTCCCTCTGCAGGACATCCACCGGAAGCGCATGGAGAAAGACTTGCTGGAACTTCAGACTCTCATTGATGTGCACTTCGAGCAGCGAAAAAAGGAGGAGGAGGAGCTCATTGCGTTGAAAGATCGCATCGTGAGCCTGGGAGGCCAGGGAGGCCTGGGAGGTCGGGTCCTTCGGTCTCTCCTCTTCCCTTCCTCCGTGAAGTGCTTTGGGGTCTCCGGGAGAAACAGTGGGGGCACCTGGTGGTTGCACTCCAATGTGTATTTCTGCCAGGCGTGCACTTAGGTGGCCAAGGCAGGCATATTGCCACAAGTTTGAGACCAGCCTGGGCTATCTGAGACTATTTCAAAAAGGGAAATCAAACAAAAGAAACCACACTTATTTCTCTTGAAGGGAGAGAGAACTTGGGAGAGAGGCTAGCCTCCGATCCTCCTCCCCCATCTTTCTCCCTTCCACCCCCAGGAGAGGCGTCGTGCAGAGAGAGCTGAGCAGCAGCGATTCAGAACCGAAAAGGAGCGAGAGCGGCAGGCCAAGCTGGCGGTAGGTGTCTGTCCCTTCACTAGAGAAGAATACTTACTTCCTTTCCCACTTTTGATATTCTCTGCGGTTCTCAGAAAGTCTCTGTAATGTATCACGTAAGGTTTTTCTAATAAAAGGACAAAATGCATATAAATAAATAGTCTACTTCTGGTTCAGCTTCAGGCATGGCTGGATCAAGAGGCTCAAACCTCAAACCATAGCACAAAGACTCGGCTTTGTCGGGTGCGGTGGGCCTAGACCTATGATCCCAGCCCTGGAGAAGCTGAAGCAGGAGGGTTTCTGTGACTTTGAGGGCTCGTCTCAGGGAGAAAAAATGGGGGGGGGGGCATATCAAGTTAAGGAGTGGATTCCTCCGTGACCGCATCTTCACTCAGTATGGAGCTGAGCCATCCACTACCCAGCTAGTGTCTTCCTCCCTCATGGAGAGAACCGCTCTGTTTTCACAGGAAGAGAAGATGCGGAAGGAGGAGGAGGAAGCGAAGAAGCGAGCAGAGGACGACGCCAAAAAGAAGAAGGTTCTGTCCAACATGGGGGCTCATTTTGGGGGCTACCTGGTCAAGGTGAGTCTAGCCTGTGCAAGCCTGGGGTCTGTGTGTACAAAAGGGAAGTGAGGGGAAGCTTCGGAGTGCTGGTCCTGAAGAAGACAACTGAGCTGAGGTCCTGTGTAGGGGCAGCTGTCACTTTAGACAACATGTGACCAGCTGCTGAACGTCTCTGTCCCCTTGGGAAGAATGGGGACTGTGCTCCTGTGTCTGAGGGAGGAGGCATGGAGCCTTGGCCTTTGAGTCTAAGGGAGGAGGGTTGAGACCTGGGCCCTTGGGTTTGGGGGAGGAGGGCTGGAGCAGCTGTTGGAGGCACTAGCCATGATCTCAGGACTCTGAGTGAATTTTTAAAATTATTTTTTAATTTATTATTATTATTTTATGTTCATTGGTGTGAGAGTCAAATGCCCCGGAACTGGAGTTACAGACAGTTGTGAGCTGCCATGTGGGTACCGGGAATTGAACTCAGGACCACTGGAAGAGCAGCCAGTGCTCTTAACCGCTGAGCCATCTCTCCAGCCCCCCTCTCTGAGAGGATTTTAACCTCCAGGTTTCATCCCTGGCTTGGGATTCCTCCCTTTCCAGGCAGAACAGAAACGTGGGAAGCGGCAGACTGGCCGGGAGATGAAGCTCAGGATTTTGTCTGAGAGGAAAAAGCCCTTGGACATTGACTACATGGGGGAGGACCAGCTCCGGTAGGTGCTTGTGGCTCATGTAGGTCTTCCATGCGCGATACTCTGAGTCTGTGCCTTGGTGCTGTGTTACTTCAAGCAAGTGACGTTATTTTTCTGGGCCACCTCTGCTTTCTCTGGTTGAAGTGTCACTCAGATGCAAACTATCCTGTGCCTGGCATGGCCTGTAGAGTTGGGCATACACAGTGCCCTCTCCCTCATTTAGGTACAATCCTAACATTCAGGAGGTGGAGGCAGGGGGATCAGAAGTTCAGGGTCATCCTCTCCTATACATTGAATAGGGGACCAGGCTTCAGTTACATGAGACCTTTGTAATTGATATTTCCTGTCCCAACTACCCAATCCCAATAACCGATTCAGAGGCTAAATAGCAGTTATAAATGCTCATCCAATAGCTCAGGCTTGTTACCCATTTTTAGTAGTCTATGTATTGCCATGTGGCTCATGGCTTTACCTGTGCTCTAGCATGTCTTGCTTCCTGGGAGGCTGGTTGGCATCTCTGCTAACTCTGGCCTCCTTCTTCCCTTTGTTCTTAGTTTTCCCACCTAACTTCCTGCCCAGCTGCCAGCCTGTCAGCTTTTATTAATCAATGAGAATATTGCATGTTCATAATATAGAAAAGGATTGTTCCACATCATTCCCCCTTTTTGTCTAATTAAAAAGGAAGGTTAATATAGTAAAGCTATATACAACAAACAGTCATTAAGTAAGAATTACAGTAACAATATCAATCTATTTGTATTTGGCAAAATTAGAGAAAATATTTAACTATCTTATCTTGGTGAGTCTAAAGTTTTGCATCTAATATAACTTTTGTCAGAACTAAAGAAAACTATAACTATCTAGTCTTCAACTCCATCAAAGATCCCAGAAGGGTGAAATGTTACCTAACTACACAGATGTCTTGCTGCCTGGATAGTCACCCAAAATTCTTCTGTAATGTTGAGGCATTCGTTTTTGCCCCATAGACCTAGAATATCTGACAGACTTTTTTCAGAAGCAGGAAATATTAAAGAACTGTTCTATCATGTCTTGGCAAAGTTTGGCAGTCACCTTTCTTGCACCCTTGTGGTCCAATTTGGACAGTACATTGTAATTTATTGAGGCAAGGGCAGTTTATTTGCCCACACAGGTAGGTTTTGCCATAAAGAAAGCAAACTCCATATGGAGTTTCTTTGATGCCCATCATCCTCTTTGAATTAATTGGTGCTGCCGGGAGCAGATATGTCTCACTGTTGAGAAAGTCTAAGTTCTTAAAACATTTTAAATGACATACTCTGTAGGCATACTTTGAAATATATCTATCTGTAATATATCTCTGTATATCTGGAAAACATAACTAACTAACATGACCATAAGTTTGGTAGAAATGTGTGACTATTATAGACGACTAATAATCAGTATTTCTTAATTATATATTACATTTTTTAAAAAATTATTTATTTATTATGTATACAGTGTTTTGCCTGGGTGTATGCTTGTACACCAGAAGAGGTTGTGAGCCAACATGTGGTTGCTAGGAATTGAACTCAGGAACTCTGAAAGAGAAGTCAGTGTTCTTAACCTCTGAGCCATATTTCCAGACCCTATATTACATTTTTAAATGAGTTGCACAAACAAAAGTAGAAATATACATACAGTATAACAAAATTAACTTTAAATTTGTGCCACTAAAACAAACTCCATACCAATGTAAAATATGTAAGATTAATAGTTGTTTTTTGGATTAAAGTAGATTCAATAATCTACTCTTTTATCCTATCATTTCTATAATCCCCTCTTTCTTTTCAGAACAAGATCCCTGAATCTAATCTCCTTTGTTTAGCTTTTTTTCCCCTGAACATTATCTATAACGACTTGTAACCAACCCCCCTAAATGATGACAGATATTCATAATTTAATTTTGGGAATGTGAACATAGTTCTCCAGACTACTTCCTGTTGACTGTGTGCACTGATAATCTTTGGGGGATCCTCAGAAAATTTAGGATTATGGTCAAGTCCTGACTGGAGTATTCTTGCGGCTGGACCATCTCAGCCAGCATCCTTGGAGCTGTTCAGGATGCAGAGCTCAGAGGAAACTGCCACAGAGGCAGGCTGAAATGGATCACCTGGGTCCTCCACTCCCATCGGAGATTTTTCAGGGGTCTTCCTTGATCAAACCTGATTTTTCTTAACCTAGCATGAACCCACAGCCTCTCATTTCCTCATTTTCTACATGTGTCTCTTGCCTGGCGACTGGCTGGTGTCTCCCCTGACTTTCTTCCCATCACTCTCAGTTTGGCTTTTCCTCCCGACTTCCTGCCCTGCTACTGGCCGGTCAGCTTTTTTATTAACCAATGAGAGTAATACGTCTTCATAGTGTAGAAAAGAATTGTTCCACAGCAGATCTTGTCTCAGAAGTCAAAACTAAACACACACACACGTACAATAAATAATATATAAGTGATAAATAAAAACCAAATAACTGGGCAGTAGTTGCGCATGCCTTTAATCCCAGCACTCGGGGGCAGCTACCAAATCAAGACACGAAGACTTAGCATTAGTTATGAATGCTCATCCTTAGTGTATGCTTGTCCCACTAGTTCTTAAAAGTTAAAATAACCTGTTTCTCTTCACCTGTGTTTGGCCTACTCCATGTCTGGTTGTCTGGTGGCTGGTAGGCTCGCTGGCAGGCTGGCTGGTTTGGTCCAGGCATCTCCTCTTTTTCTCCCTTGTTCTCCCTCCCCCCATCCTAGATTCTTTCTTGTACTTATTCTCTCTGCTTGCCAGCCTGTCTATTCCTCTATTGCTTAGTTAGTGGGTGTTCAGCTTTTTATTAGACCAATCAAGTGTCTTAGGCAGGCAAGGTGAAACAGCGACACATCTTTATATAAGTAAACAAATGTAGCATAAACAAATGCAACACACCTTTACATAGTTAAGGTAAAATTCCGCAACATACCAACTACACCAAACTCAAAGACTTGCTGCACGACTTGGGGTAAGTGTCTCAATATTTCTGGGCCCAGAACACAGCCTGAGTCTCGCACATCCCATTCCTTCTCGTCCTGCTAGAGAGAAGGCCCAGGAGCTGTCAGAATGGATCCACCAGCTGGAGTCAGAGAAGTTTGACCTGATGGAGAAATTGAAGCAACAGAAATATGAGGTGGGACCTGCTCTATTGGGGTCCAGGCTGGGTGACGGGGTAGTAGGCAGGCTTCCATTGGGCAGCCACTCCTAACCTGGCTTCCTGTTCCACAGATCAATGTGTTGTACAACCGCATCAGCCATGCCCAGAAATTGTAAGTGCTGCCCCCAGCCTCCACCTAAGGCCTAGCCTGCTCCCTCCCTCTGTTCCTCCCTGCTCCCTCCCTCCCTCCCTCCCTCTATGGCTTCTGCACACCTCTGCCCTTTTGGCATCTTTATGTCTTTGTTTCTTACTTCCTGAGGCATCCTTTCTGTATCTGTTCTCATGAGTTCATTTATTTATTTGTTTGTTTGTTTAATTTGCCCATTATTTCAAGACAAAGTCTTACTTTGTAGCCCAGGCTGTCCTGGAGCTCACTATGTAGCCCAGGCTGGTTTTGGATCTGTAGCAGATCCTCATGACTCAAGTCAGTGGTATGTGGGGGTGACTGACATAGTTCACCCTTCCTGAATTTTTTGTTGTTGATGGTCTATCTATTTATTTTTAAGGCGAAGTTTCATGTAGCCCAGTCTCACTAGGTAGCTGAGGCTGGCCTTGATCTCCTGATCCTCTGGCTTCAGCCTCTGAGTGCTGGGATTATTGGCCTGCACTCCAGTCTCTCACTTCTACTTAAAATCTCTTAGGTTTCAGTCTCCCCCTATTTCTGCTCCCTCCATCTCTTTCTTTCTGAGTATATATTCTTTTATACATTTTGGAATCAGATTCACATAGCGTGTGTGTGCGCGTGTGCAAGCGCTGCCATGGTGCAAGTGTGATCAGAGAGTGACTCCGACAAGTTGGTTTCTCCTTCTGTCATGTGGGTCCCAGAGATGAAACTCATCCTAGGCTTGGCTGCAAGCACTTTTGCCTGCTGAGCCATCTCAGCAACACCCCCTTTCTTCCTCTTCTTCTTCTTCTTCCTCCTCATCCTCCTCTTCTTCTTCTTCCTCTTTCTCCTCCTTCTCCTCTTCCTTCTCCTTCATCTGTATCTCCACTTCCTGACCCTTTTCCTCCTCTCTATTTCATGATATTAATACAAAGTCTCCTGTAAGCTGGAATGATCTTTGACTCCATTTGTAGTTGAGGCTGTCCTTGAACTCCTGACTCTCGCCTGCCTCCACTTCCCAAGTACAGGGATTACAGAACCATCATACCTAGATTTTTTTTTAAATTTAAGTCAGATTCTTGCCATATAGCCCAGGTTGTCCTTAGACTCTAGGTGATCCTCCTGCTTCATCCTCTTTAGTGCAGAGATTACTAATGTGTTCCACCACGTCCAGGCTTCTTGCTGTTTCCTGCTCAGTCTCTGTCTTTCTCTAATCTTTCTCTGTACTGTTCCAGCCTCACTGAGTCCTGTAGCATGTCACCACCTTCAGCTCACCCTTCTTCCTTCACCCTCAAGTCCCTTACTCATAAATTTGCATGAGTTCTCTGAACCAACCCAAGAAAGTCAACTCCCACATGGCCCACCAACCACTAACTGGGGATTATCTGAAAGGGATGCTCTCAATGCGACAATGGCTCAGTGGTAGTGTCTCTACCTATAACCCCTAGTTTAGTGAGGCGCTCAAAGGTAGAGCCCCTGCCTAGAATCCCCAGTGAGGGGCTGGGGGTGTGGCTCAGTGGTAGAGCCCCTGCCTAGAATCCCCAGTGAGGGGCTGGGGGTGTGGCTCAGTGGTAGAGCCCCTGCCTAGAATCCCCCAGTGAGGGATTGGGGGTATGTCTTAGAGGAGGAGCCCCTGCCTAGGATTCTCCAGTGAGGGATGGGGGGACGTGACTCAGTATAGCATGCTTACTTAACTTATGAGGCCCTGACTCCATTTGCCCAGTACTAAAAAAAAAAAAAAAAAAAAAAGAAACCACACAGAGTGGCCTCTGCTTTCTTTTTCCTTTGGGTGGGGGTGGGTATTTGTGGACTTCCTTAATTTTAAAGGCGCCGTGTTAAGCTTATTTCGGAGGCTTAGAGCCTCTTTCTGACCCCACCTTTTTCTCTGACAGTCGAAAGGGGGCTGGGAAGGGTCGAGTTGGAGGCCGCTGGAAGTGAGACCGCCAGGATTTGTCCCCTTGTATGGAGTCCAGGAGCCACTGGAGTGCATCCCCTCTGTAACTCAAAATAAAGGCTCTCCAGACATCTGCTTGAGTTCTTCAGTGTTGTCATTATGTGTGGCTGGCTGTATGGGCTGGCTAACATCTCTATATTGCCTGGGAGAGCCATCAGCTCATGGCCAGGAGTGTAGTGTAGCTTGGCTAGCACTCCTGAGTTAAATATTCAGTACTATTTAAGCTGGGTGTGGATGGTGACTGTCTGTAATCCCAGCACCTGGGAGGCAGAGACAGGGGGACCAGGATTTCAAGGTCATCCTTGGCTATGCAGTGAGCTCAAGACCACCATGAGACCCTGTCTCAAATAATAATAATAATAATATAATAATAATAATAACAAGTATGCTAGGAGACTATGTGTGGGGGACGAGGTAGAAGGCTGGCACAGGAATAGATCTGTAAGATGTGGTGCTAGGGCCCAGGACACAACTCAGGAGGTAAAGGAGTGTCCTGCGGAAGGAGAGACACATCTCCTGCAAGTTGTCCTCTGACCTCCATGTGTGTTGGCATATATGAGCATACATGTACAAAGGAATATAACAATTTTCAAAAGGATGTGACTGTGGAGCTGGAGAGATGGTTCAATGGGTTAAGAGTTCTTGCTGCTCTTTCAGAGGACCCAAGTTCAGTTCACAGTTCCTATGACAACTGGCCCACAAGACCCTGTAACTCCACCTATGGGAGATCGATGCCCTCTAGTGGTGTACTTGTGGACCTGCACCAATGTGCAGACACGTACATAAATACATAATGGAGCTGGTTGATGCCTTTAATTCCAGCACTTGAGGCAGAGGCAGGCAGATCTCTGTGAGTTTGAGGCCAACCCGGTCTTCAAAGCAAGTTCCAGGACAGACTTCAAAGCTACAGAGAAACCCTGTCTTGAAAAACTAGGGGAAAAATGTGATTGTGATTTTAGGGGTTGGGGTTGAATCTTCTTCTATAATTGCAGTGACCAAATTCCATTTGGAGAGTGAATTCTTCCTGTTCCTTAGTTGGAGGTCACATTTGAAAGAACACAACCTTGCAGGAGACTAATGATCTCAAGACTTCCTTCCCTTGACCCAGATTTGGTGTAGTGATAGTAACAGACAGGCTAGCCATAGGTGGCTCCGAAAAATTAATTTATAAATTAATTGCCTCTTGAATTTAAAGTGGTTGTACAAGGTTATTAACTCTTCCTAAGGATGGTTTAAAATAACACACCCGAAGGCCAGGTGTGTGTAGGGGCGTGCATATAATCCCAGAATTTGAGAGATGAGATGGTAGAAGGTTATATATTAAGATCCTGCCTCAAAAACCAAACCTCAACAAAAACAACAGCCAGACCAAAACTGGCTAATAATAGTCTTACCTCTGTCTGTGCATTGGTGCAGCCTTATTTTGCGGATAATTTTATAAATATCTATTTAGTATGTGTGTTGTGGTGGGGTGTGTGTATATATGCCATGGTCGGGGGTAGAAATCAGAAGTCAGTTTTTGGAGTCAGTGATTTCTTTCCTTGTGGACCCTAGGGGTTGAAATAGCTAATTTCTTGCCTTGGGGAAGAATTGTGTGTGTGTGTGTGTGTGTGTGTGTGTGTGTGTGTGGTGTGGATTAGGCATCTCACATCTCAAAAACCATGGGATTATACTTTTGGGTTTATGGTCATTATTCCCCAGGCCTTGCAAGGGTTTGTTATTTATTTCTTTCACAATCCAAGGGTTACAGAGTAGATGAGGCTGCCCTAGTGCTCCTTAGGAAACCGTTTGTTTTCTCTCTACAAATTTGACAACTTTCTGTCCAACTTTGGCGGGTCTGTGTTTGGTCTATTTTTCTGTCTCAAGGTGTTTCTATCCTTCTCCAGTTGGATTTGGGGGGAAGATACTTGAAGTATTAAGGTGTTCCTATCTGTTGGGTCTATTATAAAACTCCCAAACCTAGTGGAAATCAGATTTTGTACTATAAATCCCAGCATGCCAGGGCAGCATGATACAATGTGAATAACATCATCTATAGTCCTCTGCAGCCCCAGGCGGGCTAAGGAAAAGTGTGTGGTCATTTTGGGCTCCGCTTTGGGACCCTTCTTCCTGGTGTGCTCAAGGAATTACGACTAGAGACCGCAGGCTTTTCTTGATCTGGAGACGGACTTTTCTGGGTACCTTGGGTTCTCGGGCACTTTTGGAAGTCGGGGGCTGAACCCTTTAGGAGGCGTGGTCCCGAGACTACATTTCCAGCTTACTTTATGTTATCTGATTCCCTTGAATTTTGCACGGGAACTTTATCCCAGAGTGTTAAAAGTGGGTACTCAGGAGCCGGGCAGTGGTGGCGCACGTCTTTAATTCCAGCACTCGGGAGGCAGAGGCAGGCGGATCTTTGTGAGTTCGAGGCCAGCCTGGTCTACAAGAGCTAGTTCCAGAACAGGCTTCAAAGCTACAGAGAAACTCTGTCTCGAAAAAAAAAAAAAAGTGGGTACTCAGATTAGTTTGGCGGCTACTGTCTTTAATCTGGTTTGAGAAGTCAATTTCCCGATGCTTTAGGGAGCCCATTCATTCATCCTAAAATATTGTTTATTGCCTACTCTCAGGCTCAGTTCTAGTCATGATGACCAAAGGGTTTGCTCAAAGGAGACAAATGCTTTTCCTCATTGTGTTTATCCCCCATCAACAGCAGATTCAAAACCAAAACAAGCCCGGGCGTGGTGGCACCCCTTGAATACCAGGACTTGAGAGGCAGAAGGAGGAGAATTTCTGTGAGTCTGAGGCCAGTCTGGTCCACAGAGCGAGTTTTAGGCCACGCAGGGTTACATAGCGAGGCCCGGTCTCAAAAATAAAACCCCACAAACATCTGTAATCCCAGCAAGTAGGAGATGGAGGTAGGAAGATCAGCAGTTTAAGGGCATTCTTAGTTAACATAATGAGTTCGAGGGTCAACCTGTCTCACAACAAAACACAAAAAGTATGGGAATTTTATTTCTGTCTCTTTCAGGTTCCCGTTATACGCCATCATTTCCCAAGCACCTTCGTTTAACCACTTTACAAACCACACTACATTTCCCAGAATCCCCTCCGCCCCCGGGCATTCTGTGCAGCTTCTATACCCAGATTCCCATCATTCCCTGGGGGCATGCCCTCCTTTAGGCAATTTTAGTTTTTCGGTTTTTCGAGACAGGGTTTCTGTGTAACCCTGGTCGTTCTGGGAGTCGCTATGTAGACCAGACTGACCTCGAACTCAGAAATTCGTCTGCTTCTTTCTCTGAAGTACTGGGATTAAAGGCATGCATTTTGGCGGTTTTCATTCGACCCCTTCTAGCTTCAGATTCCCAGATATTCTTCAGGATTTAGCGAGTCTAGTGAAAACTTCAGTTTATAGAATCAATTTCCCAGCACTCCCCGAGGCCCGCCTGCGTCCTCGATCGCTAACCTAGCCGCGCTAGTTACGCAAGTCTCCTCAATCAGGACTCCATTTCCCAGAGGGCTATGGGTCAGCGTCGTGACGTCAACGTTCCGTCCGGGGGCCGGTCGAGCCTCTGGGCGGTGCTTGCCGTGCGGCGGTTCCCGGCGGCCCCCGGGGCGGGCGGGTGGCTGCTGTTCGTCGCCCGGCGCTCGCTCGCTCGGTGGGCGGGCGGGCGGCCGGCGCGATGTCGGGCGAGGACTGCCCGGCGGCGGGCCCGGGGGCGGCGGCGGCTGCGGCGGCAGCACGCGAGCGGCGGCAGGAGCAGCTGCGGCAGTGGGGGGCGCGGGCGGGGGCTGAGCCGAGCCCCGGGGAGCGCCGTGCCCGCACGGTCCGCTTCGAGCGCGCCGCCGAGTTTCTGGCGGCCTGTGCGGGCGGCGATCTGGACGAGGCTCGCCTGATGCTGCGCGCAGCCGACTCTGGCCCCGGCTCCGGAGCTGCGTCCGACCCCTCCGTCTCGCCGTCTGCACGCGCGGTGCTCGACTCCACCAACGCCGACGGCATCAGCGCCCTGCACCAGGTCAGCGCCCGCGCCCCGGGTCTGCGCCACCAGGGCATCCTCCCTTCCCGGCCCTGAGCCACCTCCCCTACCGACTCTGCCACCTCTGAGTGCCCCGCCTGCTCCGTGGCCGCCTCTTCTCTGTCATCTGTGCTGTCTCCTTTCCCCGTACATCTTTTGCAGATTGCTTACTTCCGTGCCTACGCTGGCCGTGTTTCTCCTTTCCAGGCTGTGCTGCAGCTTTCCAGGTCTGAGGTTTCGTCCTCCTGCGGTCTGACTTGACCCTCCTCTTACGCTAGGCCCAGGTTCTTCAGTGTCACTTCTTTGAGGGTCCACCTTGTATCACCTGTGACCTGTACTGCCTGTAGTGGCCTTAGGATGGTCTTTTCCCTTCTAAGCAGTTATATAACCTTTGTTCCCTTGAAAAGATACTTCCTCTGATGGGTCATCCCATGCTATCTTTATCTTTTCTCCTATCCTCTGCCCCCATGTCCTCTTAATTCAGTTCTCGATTCATCCCCTTTTGGGGATCTTGCCACCTCTTAGGTTTCTCCTTGACTTCTCTTTCTCTATCCACATTATTTGCCTTTCTGGAAACTTCTAAGCATCCGATCTTCCAAGCTGTGGGCTACTTCTCTCATCTCTTGTTTGGTTTTGTTGTTGTTTTTCCTGAGACAAAGTCTTGCTGTGTAGCTCAGGTCATCCTCAGACACAGGTCCCGTGTCTCTGCCCCCTCATTTGTGGGATTACAGGCATGGCCACTCCACCTATCATCTGGGCAGCATCCTTCTTTAAAAGCTATACCCTCTTGTTGGGCAGTGGTGGTGCACACCTTTAATCTCAGCCCTCAGGAGCCAGAGGCAGGCTGATCTCTGAGTTCCAGGCTAGCCTGGTCTATAAGAACTAGTTCCAGGACAGGCTCCAAAGCTACAGAGAAACATTGTCTCAAAAAACCAAAATAACCAAACAAAACAAACTATGCCCTCTCTCCTATATTTCTACCCTGTCACCTTCTAGAACCTACCCCACCACCAAAACCCTGGGCATCTCAGACACTGTGATTCTTATTCCCAGTGATCTGTGCCTGAGAGTGAGGACCA